GGCGGCTGCAGCTTGTAAATACTGCAGTCCCTTGTGCATGAACCCACCCGTATCTGTTGTTGTGGCTGATTATGGGTTCGAGCAGGAATCCGAAATGTCACGCGATCGTGTCTGCCTCTTCAAGATCCGACTTGTGTCTGCAAGACAGCCTTGGAGGCTAGGCATTTCTAGGATTTGTTGCAGGCGAATCCAGCAGATGGGTCATAAGCACTTCATCAAACCGAACTTCATCGGTGCCTCGCTAACTGCCATTCTCTGTGGCTGCAGATCGGGTATTCAGTCAAGCACGGACACAGATCAATTGGCTTCCCGAAGCCAATAAACTCTGCGTGAGTAGCAGAAGTCACGAACAGGTAACCAGCTACCGGGTCCAAGTCGGCCAAGTTACGATGGCAATGAGTAAAGGGCTATTGAGTATGCGGACAGACTACTGTTCCGACATTAATCTGGTGGTGGGAGGGGGGTGGACGGTGACGACGAACTTGCAGATTTAGTAGTCGAAGGCAAATTTCTCCAAACATGTCATCTACATGATGACTGCAGGTGGTATTGTGACGGGAAGCAGCTGAAGAACTGACTTGTTTCAGCACGACAACCTAAAAGGCCGCCATTTCCACGTGTTGTTTGTGGAAGGTGCTCTGTTATTTTAGATGCAGTTGATTCTAAACACACGATATTTGTCCTGCTCTTTCTGGGATTTCACAGTCAATTTACGCATTCCAACTGCTATAAATTTACGTATCTGAAGCCTATACTACTATTGGTACCTGAACCAGTGCATTGGGAAGACAGTTCGCCAGATTAAAAATCGGCACGTATGTGGTTTATGGCCGTAGTTACTTACTCCGGGGACAATTTGTGTTGAGCATCAGAGCTGAACATCCAACAACATTGTGCTATCACAAATTTTGATCCTCCGTATTGACAATATTTACGTCATTTAGTGGTTGTTGTAAGTGAATTTATTATCCCTTTGCAGGTATTGTCAAAGATTTCAGTTCAGTTTTATTGAAGGAAATGTTGGTCTTCACCTTTGAACTCCCTATTTGTCAACAAGCAACTAAAAAATCTCAAAAACTGGAAAAGATATCATAAAAGGAACAAATAATCGGAAAAGCGTCACCTCTGTGCAGATAAACAAACTGTCTCGAGTGTTAATGGTACGAGCAGTAGTACAGTGGTCGTTTCGAGTGCAGGGAAATAAATAATGCCCCCAGTGACAAAAGTATATCCGCATGCCGACAAGCGTAAACGATGAGTTGGAGACAGTTAGAAATTCAATTTAAAAGGTTACTGAAATACATCAAGTAGTACTATAAAAAGGGGAATTGTCAAGGTTACAGAGGTCGTGGGGTAATTTAGTGGACCCTGCCATACAAATCCAGTCTCCTCTCAAAGACCACTTAAAGGTATTACACTGTCGTATTTTTAGTCCGATGACTGCGTTAAAGAATTTTAACCACTCCCACGCAACAGCCACCACGAAGTCATCTTGTTTCTTTCTCTGGCACATACAAATAAATATCGGCAATTATTTTCTTTGGACACAACTGCTCCCCGGGTTAAGTGGCGCCAGTTATAAACCGTGCACTTATTACTATATGTGATGGGAATCAGTGCCTCAGTTACCCTCTATCATAGCGGTACTTTCTTCTTATCTGATAGACTCTATATGGCAGCTGACATCTCGATGTCTCTAACAAGATAATTACTGGGGAACGTACAAATGGCAGGACACTTTATATCATCCCTACACATTACGTCTGCCGCCCGAAATATCCCCTACGCACTGCCGCTATATATGGGTCCATATAGCCCATAGAGTTACACATAGGCCATACAGTCCCATCTGGTTAGAGGCACTCCTTCAACCAAACATCTAAATGGCTGCTTACATGTTCTTTTTGGATACGGTAATGGTGAGAAGCTGCTGAGCCCACAACAAAAACCGGATTTTTCACCACAGGTTTCTCACTGTTGTGATTATTCCACACAGAAATAGACCCAGTGTAGACCGTCACAGTTATCCTGTCAATGTTTGAGGAACCGTTTATCTAACTCTGATTTTTTCATTAAACTAGCGCAGTCAACAGCCGTAACAGATCTGTCTTCTTTTGGGGAAAACAACCTCAACTAAAACAACCACTCTGAAGTCCATTTGGGTAGGTGCCATGTCACAATAATCCTCGCCGCGATTGTTGAATCTGTGGTGAGAGGATCTTATTGTCCGTTTGTACATGAATTG